CTCAGAGGCTGACGACATTCACGACAGCTCGAGTTATTGCCAGCGGTGAGTGGGTCGTTTCTGGGAATGCTGCTTTGGGGCTGACTCTCCGGATCCCTAAGTGGCACCCACTTCGTGTCCACAGGAGGTGTGGGTCTTATTGGCCGTGATGCCGAAGAAGTCCTTACGTGCAGGGACCAGCCTGGGTGGCAGCCAAGCTAGCTTCCTTGGAATGTTTTCCAGTCCTGGAGAGAAAGGTGGCTGTTGAGTCTCCAGCTCTAACCACTTCTACTAAGGTGCCTCTTTGTCTGATGTGATTCCTGTGCGGGGTACAGAGACCACACGGGCATTTCATGGATGTCACGTACTGTCAGCTACGGCCCAGATGGTCAACTCGGTGTCCAGGATTTTATGAGCTGGGCTCTTCAGGGAGGCCGCATGGTCTACTGGTAATGAACGTGGCCTCTAGAGCCAGACTTCCTGCATTTGAACTGAGCTTTGCCACTTACTAGCTCTGGGTCCTCAGGAAAGTTACTTACCTTCTCTGTGCCTCAGCCTCCCCTTCTGGAAAAGGAGGATAAGGAGGATAGTATCTGCCTCAAAGATACTTATAAGGTGCTGAGTACATAGGAGGTGCTTGGCTAAGTGTTAGTTACTGTGATCATTTTGTGCTTCGTGGGTAGGGTGGCCTGATGGTGGTTTTTCCAGTTTGGGAAAAGGTTGCGGGATTCCTCCTGAATGGCCACTTATGGGTGCTGAGTGTAGGCAGGAGAGCTGTGTTCTCGAATCCACCCTTGATATTTTCTCCCCCTTTTCCAGTACCTGCTCTTTCCATCTTTTTCCTTTGCTCACCTGACTGATCACCCGCCTGAGATGCATAGCTGGAATCAGAAGATGAAGGTCTGTGGCCGGGCTCAGCCACTTGCTCCCGTATGAGTGTAGACAAGTTACTGAACCTCTCTCTGAGCAGGCGTGGAGAATTTGGGACGACTTAAGGCTGCCAGGTGTCTTGTAAAGGTGGATAATTGTGCATGCTGTTTTCCTGAGATGATCAAGGAAAGGACACACGTTGAGAGTACCGGGTGGCTCTCCTCTGGAAGCTAAGACTTACCTGACTCTACCTGTGAATGAAAAAGAATCGAAATGATTTTTGCCCTTCCTCCCTCCCTTACAGGGAGCTGTATGCTGGGAAAAGCACCAGAGGGGGAGTCAGGAGACTGGGGTCCCATTAGGTACAGTACTAGGTGCACAGTTCCCAGCACAGGGTAGGAGCAAGAAAGATGGTGTTTCTCTACTGCTTGGTTCCACTCTCTTAAGTGCGCCTGGGGGTCTCCATTCCCATTTTCTTCACAGTGGCCCTGTGTTAACTGGAGTTGTGTAGTGAGTAAGGCTGTCTTACTGTAAGTGTTGACAGTAGTCATGGCTTGATCACCCATTCCCTGGTGACCTCTGTTTTTCAGCTTCCTGTCTTAGAAAATAAGGATCTTGGGCTAAATGAACTTTCGGTTTCTTACAGCTTTAATGTGATACGAAGACATGTGATTAGATATACACTGTCTCTTCTGTCACCTGGTTCCTCTTCTTCATAGCACTTGATGTCGTCTTTTCAGATTTTGCTTGGGGTTTTTGTTTTGTTTTTTACACATTTATTTATTATTTAGTCTCCAATACCCGCATCCCCATTTTCCAGGCCCCTAGGAAGGAAGCTGCGTGAGAACAGGGACCTTGTCTGTATTGGCCATCCGCACTAGAATAGTGTTTGGAACATTTTAGGTGCTTAATGAATATACACATGTGCCCGCATATATACCTGTAACTAGGCATTATAATGTAGTTACGTAAGTTTGTCTATAGAAGCTAAGTAGTCGATTAGTTATTTCTCTCCTCACACACTCCCCTCCCCAATATACAGCACATTGTCATTTGGAGGTGAGAAGACTAGCGTTAAGAACGGTTATGTTGGGAGTTTGGGACTGACATGCACACACTGCTATGTTTAAAAGAGATAACCAACAAGGACCTACTGTAGAGCACAGGGAACTCTGCTCAATATTGTGTAACAACCTAAGTGGGAAGAGAATTTGAAAAAGAATAGGTACATGTATATGTATAACTGAATCACTTGGCTGTACACCTGAAACCAACACAACATTGTTAATCAACTGTACTCCAATATAAAATAAAAAGTTCAAAAAAAAGAGAAAAAACCTTAAGGTGGGCGATAAAAAAGAATGGTTATATTGTCTGTCTTAAAACTTAACACAAAGTCGCAGTGCGTGTAGCATCAGAGGGCAGCAGCCCCTGATGTCAGAGGAAGCCCACTGTTCAGGGCTGAGGACACTTGACTGTGAGGGCGACGTGCCGAGCATCCGTGGTGTCGGTTGGACCCTTTTGTATACGTAGCAGAGGTGATCAGCAGGAGGCAAGATATAAACCCTAGAACTGGGCTCGCTCATATTATTGAGATTTCATATTGCTTTTATTTTTTGGCCACAAAAATAGACATAATCCTTGTTGGCTTTAGCACACCTACTAGTACTGCTTCCGCTATCCATCTTGCAAAATATAAGACGAGGCCAGAGCTTAAATGAAAATCCTCAGCTTCTTATCTCCTTCCCACAGGAAAGCAAATCTGTCTTGAAAGCCGTAAAATTAAGAGGAGAGCAAGGATAGCATAATTTAACAAAAATTCATGGCACCGGATTCTGAGCTATATGACTGGAGGGATAGGTCAGACATCAAGAAGATGCTGCCTGCTAATGCAGGTCCCTTAAGGTGGTGCTCTGGAGATGAGAAAGGCATGCAAAATAAATACATATTTTTTTTTCCCCAGAAGATTTCTGCAATGCTTTTTTAACTACCCCAAGAAAATATCTAAGTAGATTGTTTGGCGATTATGCTTCTTATGAAACCTCTGAAAAATGAAACTCAAAGCAGTTATTCTAAACTATAGTTGAAATATATTCATTTTAGCATTTGGGTGTTGCGATTTTTGCTGTATTTAAAAGGGTTTATAATAATAATATTCTCACACCCACCCACCTCCCACTTCCTCTAGCATTCTAAATATTTAAGAAGCATCCATTTAGCATTCTAAGTATTTAAGAAGCTCATTCTGTGTATTTGACAAACTGCATCATTAACCCTTGAAAAGCATTGAAAGATTTTTTTTAACCTTTTACGCATTTATATGCATAGATGTCTGTGCAGAAGTGTAGGGAGAAAAGGCATGTGGCTTTGATAATGGTGCTCTATTTAATAAATGCCAAGGGCTATATGAGCTACGCAAGTTCTGCCATTAGAGGGAAGCTGATAATTATAAAATAGGGGAAAGTCTAGTATGGATATTTATGTTATTGTCTAAAAAAGTGTGATTTTTTTCCCCCTTGCTTTTTTTTTTTTCATAAGTTTCTTTTGGGCGCAGGTTGTAATGATAGGGTGTAGAGAATTACTATTACTAACTGTAAAGAGAATTAAGTGTTACTAGTATGATTATTCCTAATTTTCCTGAGAGGATGGTTTTTCCTGTTGGAGCCACGTACCGTTTATACCTAATTTGTAAAAAAAAAAACATGAAATCATCAGCGTACATCGTAGGTGCGGCCACCATACACAAGTGTGTTATGGGCCCTCAGCCGTTCAGATGTCCCTACATTTTAAGCAGTTTACACTGTGCAGTTTTCAGGCACTTACATTTTTAAAATATTTGTTTAAACAGATATTTGTTTCCGGAGAAAGTGATTTCGTGTGCATTTTAGTCTGTAGTACAGTAACAGTCTCACTATTTCAAACTGGCTGTGGTGAAGGCATGTCTGAACTAGTGAATGAGAGAATAGTTACAATTCATTATAGTCTATTCCTCTTAAATTCACAAGTTACTTATTACGGTAGTGTTTCTAAATAGAGATCTTCCCGAGACTGCTTTAACTAGGAGATGAATTTAAAATCAGGAACGTATTTTGCATGTATATAATTGTGTTGAGTTTACTCTCTTGAGGGGTTGGGTAGAGTTCCTTTTAGAACAATCCCCTGATTAGGTTAAACTGCCTGAATCTTGTTTATATTACTGATTTGCTTTGTAGGCACTTTCTTGGGGGCGGGGTCAACTTTAGCCAAACAAAAGAATTCCAGATTTCAAATTGATGAGGTCCAGATAAATAACCTGAACCTCTAAAACGGGTTACTGTTTTAGAATTCCAAATTAAATAATAAAGTTTACTTTTAAACACATATAAGACATATAAAATATGTTAAAATATAAATGCTAACAAGTTAGAGTGTTCTGACAAGCCATATTTCACATTATGCAGTTAAGCTCAAGATGGGGAATTTGCTCTTATCAATTAAGACTTCTAGAAACTAAAGAACCTGAAGATGAACTGAGCAGCTCTAAAGCATAATGAATGATGGTCATGCTTGATTAGCAAAACTATAAAACTATATGGTATAATGTGGTTCTTAAAGATGTACAACTCTAGAATTATGAATTTTATAAACTAAGGTGATATCAATACAGCAGATTTATATATACTGGGTTGTTTAAAAAGTTGCCCTTCAAGTTGACAATATTTATTCATTTATGTATTCTTGGAACAATATTTATTGAGTGCCTTTTTTATGCCAAACATATATAATGAATAAAGAGTTTATAAAACATTCACAGCTTTTGCTCCGGTAGCTCTTTGCTGACTCTAACCTGAGGAGATAATCCAAAAGGGGAATGTAAATACGTATGTTTAGAAATTACGTCATATGGAATAATAGTGACCAACCTAAATCTCCAAAGGGGCCTTGGTTAAATAACTGGTTGCTTCTTGGTGGGATATTCGTGTACTTGAGTACGGAACATGAGAAAATCCTGAGGATCTAAGTGAGTAGAGCAGATGATTCAGTTGTCCAGGTCTGGAGAGGATTCTCGGGTTGTGCTGGTGCCCAGTGACTGCTGTTGTGTGACTTCTGCAGGGAGAGGAGACAGGAGCTGGGCGTCCATATTAACGGCTGTCCTTGTGGTTACTTTGCAGTCAAATAAAGTGCCCGTGGTGCAGCCATCCCACGCAGTCCATCCTCTCACCCCCCTCATCACTTACAGCGACGAGCACTTTTCTCCAGGATCACACCCGTCACACATCCCATCGGATGTCAGCTCCAAACAAGGTGAGAGCCCTGCCTCCCTCCCCAGGCCACTTTGGATAAGCAAGGAGCCTCATCTCATCAGTCTGAGTGACCTCACAAGGGCCTCCGCCCGTGTCACTGGGTGGGTCATAATACATTTGTAGGAGAAGAATTTATTTGATAGCAATTTCTTTTTTTTTACATCTTTATTGGAGTATAATTGCTTTACATCTTTATTGGAGTATAATTGCTTTACAATGGTGTGTTAGTTT